AAAAAAAGAAAGAAAGAAAGAAAGAAAGAAAGAAAGAAAGAAAGAAAGAAAGAAAGAAAGAAAGAAAGAAAGAAAGAAAAAGAAAAGAAAAAAGAAACAGGGTTTTCAAGCTCCAGGGGAGTAGGAAAGAGTTCATTCTGGAGCCAGAACTTGTGTGAGTGAGCACGACCCAGGAACTTATAGATTTGTTCCTTTAACTCCATGTTTTCCAATGCAGAAGTAATTTCATAGAGTTTCATAATAACAGAACAGAGAGAGTTAGAAGTCAAGGTATTTTTTAAATGCATTGATGGAAACGATAAGCAGGTGGTTACAGTAAAGTGGTGGGATCTGTAGTTCCACTGTTTATATTTGCTCTGTGATAGTCTGGTATTTGCAGGTACAGGGGTTGAGATAGGTCTCACTAAGTAGTCTTAGCTGACCTGGAACTGGCTATGTAGACCGGGCTGGTCCTGAATTCATAGAAATCTGTCTGCCTCTGCCTCCTGAGTGTTGGAATTGAAGGTGTACACCACCACACCCATCAGTCTATGACAGTTTGTGATAACTTATGTATGTGAAGTTATATGTACATAAATATAAATGATTTTATAAAAAACAGGTCACGAAGCATACACTATTAGATAAAGATATGTGATAGATAAGAACAATGAATTGTGTTTGCTTTAACGAGACAAGAGTTTCTCTGCTAGGGGAAAAGTGACTGCCACCACAATGGAAGGATGTCATAAAACCACTGGTTTTTGTTTTTTTTGTTTTTTTCTTCCATAGAGCTCCTTGGGTTTTAATTTTATTGAGCACTAATCATAATATTTTAAAAGAAATAACTGCACCTTCACTATTAAAAGCTGTTATTCCAATTCACGGTTGGAAGTAAAATCACATATGCATCGTCGAATTTGCATGAAGGTTTGTGAGTGTGTGGATCACAAATGAATAAGAATGTAAGTCCTCTGCCTGCTGCTGGGCGCCTTTCTTGCAAAGCCACTTTCGGCAGCATAACAAGGTTTGCAGGCACAGAGGACAGTTGAAAAAAAGGGATACAGCTTCTTCAGCGTCGTTCCTCTAAGTGCAAACTGACCTAGTTATGGTTGCCATGGAGACGGTAATTTTGAATTTAATAGTATTCTCTAAAGGAGTAGCAATACAGCTGCACAAAACACTGAGATCAGTCTGAAGCTCAGCTTTGAAGGGTGAAGAAACTGAGTCAGAGGGGCTTTGTGTTTTCATCCTGTGCCGACAGGGATGCTGGGAGATTGCTAGGGAAGTCTCAGAAGTAATGAAGCCTAGGTCGATATGTTTTTCAAAGTCACTCAAGCTGCAAAAATAATGCTTCTTAGTGTAAGTGACTTACATGGGTCCTTGATGCACTTATTAAAAACACCCTCTTTCCCCCCTGTTATCCCTAACTATGGCTTTTCACCTCCCAGCTAAAGAAGCACATGCATCTACTTGGAGTCACTCGACTGGGTTCCCACGATGAGCAGTTTTCTGCACCACAGAAAGATGAAAAAGGAAATGCCTGTGAAGTAGAAGAATGATCGCTTGTTTTATCTTGAGTCCCGAGGTCATTTGATGACCATATTTTCTGGGTCTGCAGCACCTAATCTTGAACATAATGGTAATGCTGTGATTTGCACAGTTAACATTCAATTGTAATATTAAGATTCTGGGCTATAATAAGTATTTCTGAATTACTCATGCTTGCCATAAAAAGAAGTGGGCTATTTACAGCCAGAGCCAGAATAAAAGTACCTATGTTTCTAGCTAGATATTATCAACTGGGTGCAGAATTTAGGCAATGAAGATTGGAGAAATTGGAGGGAGGGAAATAACAACAATCTCTTAAACGCTTCCTGGAAATGAGACTAGTTCATCTCCTGTTTCATTTGCTTTTGCCCAAGTCCCTGTTTTGCTGAGCAACTCTTATTAATGAATGGATTCTGGAAGATCATCCACAACAGGAAATTGAATCCAATGATCTGTCTGAGACCCCAGCAATTATTAGCTAGTTTTCAAAGATTCCAGCAGCATATTTTTCCTGCTTATGCTGCTAGTTTGCCTTAAAGGCCACCCCCTGCACTTGCAAAGATGTTTCCCCATCCAAGATAAATCTCCCCCACACCCCCTCAACACAACCTTGAAAATCTTGGAATGGATGATTCATTACAGCTGAGACAAAGGCCCAGCTCTGCTCATATGTCATTGCTAAAATTACTTTGGTCAAGAGGATGAAAACATTAGATGGTTTCCCTCCTTCCTGTCCGCAGCTCCATCCATTGCTGCTGACAGGGTTATTATGCTGCTGCCCGGCCAGTGCATTACCAGAAGTGGTTGCTTTCAGGGAGCATGCTGGAGGATATAAAAACACAGCTACAAGATAGTAGGGCCACTGTGAACAATGGATAATTGAATAGGAAACCCTCAGAGCTGGCGTTATGACCACCCCACAGATGTGTTAATGACCTCATCTTTGAAGAAATAATATTCTCCAGTTTTTGCTTCTGTTTCAGATCTACTACCTTCCCTTTCTGGGAACGGAAGTACTGAGGTAGAGAGGATGCAGCGAAGACCCTCTCTATGTATTGGTGGCCGTGGATCATCTTAAGCTGTAAGACCTGATCTCCAACAATATTTATTGACCTCGTGTTGTTAGGCAGAAGGGGAGCAAAGGCAAATCATTTGGAAAGCTCGAACCCCCCCCCCCCCGGAGTGGCAGGGTGTGAAGAGAGGCATCCACTGTGAAGGAAGTGCTGATGAGTGAGTTCAGAGGAAGGAGGAAGGGACCATTTTCAGAGGACAGGAGGGAGTCATCACAGAGCAAGGCACCTTGGAGCTGAGTTTCGAAGGATGTATGAGACCATCAGAATGGGGAAGGTGATTCCAATTCTAAGAAATGGCTTGAACAACGTTAATCCCCAAAGTGAATAGAATCCAGGGCATGGCCAGGAGTGTGGATTGGACTGTTTCTCAAAGTCAGTCACAGAAACTTCTCTCCTTGACCAGGTAGGATTTGCACTTGAGATCTTGATGTAAGTGACACTAGGTGACTTCTTTCAGGAGCCCCGAGCCTCTGGATGCCCCTCAAACTTCTGCATCAGAAAGAAGTCCAAATGAGGTTCCTCCACAAGGTCAAAAGAAGAGGCCTCAACTCAACAAGAAAAGGAAGCTCTGATCAAGCCAAGGCTGCTTTGCCAACAACCACAGGCGAAGTGTGAGTTAGACCTGCTTAGCTGAGTGTTGAATTAGACCTGCTTAGCTGAGTGTTGAGTTAGACCTGCTTAGCTGAGTGAGCCTTTCCCAAGTTCCTGAGCCCCCAGCTATGAACCCTAATACTCTGATAATCACTATTGCAAGCAGCTAAAGCTTAGGGAGCAGCCTGTTATTCAGTCGTCAATAATTAGAATGGTAACTAAACTGGATGGTTCCTAGACTGTAAAGAATTGTTCCTGAATGCCTGGCATAGAGAACAGGAAGGAAAACTGTTGAAGATTCATTCAGCCAGCAGTTTGCTGGCTGGCCACTTTGCACATAGCTGAATGCCAAAGGCCACAGCCTTCCCTACAGGGTGGGAATGAGTTTGAGTCTCTTTCTCCATTATTTATTAGCAGTGCTATCATTCTTCAGGTTTTCTAAATCCGTCCCTGCGTCTTGAAAAACACGAATATTGGTTTGTTAATGCCACAGCCGAGGCTCACAAGCTAAGTGTGAGCCCAGAGACCCACACGGTAGAAAAAGAGAATGTAATTAAAAAGATTTTTAAAAAGGAGAACAGTATTATTTTGGTTTCCTTACTCTTACTTTATCACAGTTCTTACATATATGCTCAATAATAGAAAATGATTGTTTTCAGCCCATCCCCTTAGCCCTTTGCCAGGAGTACATGAGCTCATTTTTTTCCCCAAAGTATCATTGTCAAGCTTCCAATTTTTTTTTTTGACAGTGTTGTTGAGCTCTGTCTGGCCTCAAGCTTGCTGTGTAGCCAAGGGTGACGTTGAAGTCCTAATTGTTCTGGCTCCACCTCCCAAGTTCTGGGATTATAGGTCAGAGCTGTCACCCCAGCTTCAGGACTCTTACATTTTGGGTTGTGAGCCTAGCCTATAGCAGCTGAACTATCTCCCAGTTGTTGGGTTTTGTTTTTTTTTTAACTCTCTTGGGGGGTGGGGACTGCCACCCAGCTACCAAATAAATCATACACAGAGGCTTATTCTTAATTATGAATGCCTGGCTTTAGCTTCGCTTAGTTTCTAGCCGGCTTTCCTTATCTTAAATTATCCCGTCTACCTTTTGCCTCTGGGCTTTCCCCGTTCTCTTAGTTCTGTAAATCTTACTCTTACTCCATGGCTTGCTGTGTAACTGGGTGGCTGGCCCCTGCAGTCCTCCTCGTTCCCTGGCTCCTAGACCTTAGATCTCCAGTCCCAGTTTTCTCTTTTTATGTATACTCTCCGCCTGCCAGCAGCCCCCACCTATACTTTCTCCTGCCTTGTGATTGGCCAGTTCTTTATTAGACCATCAGGCACAGTAACACAGCTTCACAGAGTTCATGCAACATGAACAAAAGTAATACACTTTAAAATATTCTACTACATCTCCTCAGCCCCACTTCTGTCCTTTTAAATGGGATCTGTTTCTGGCCTCCACATCTGTCACTTGACTCAATTCCATTTGGAAGTCTTACAGATGCTTGAAATGATGTGAAATGAACGAAATTGGGTGATTTCCATTTCATTTTGTCATTGAAGAACTAAGTATTGTTGAGTTTGGGGAAAATTTGCTTCTGCACTGCTCCAAAGTAACATTTTATGGCTTTTCTCTGACTTTAAATGATTTTGTCTTCCATTTGTTGGGGTTTCTGCTAAACCTACCTCTGGACTTAGAGATACGAAGGATTTGATTTTGATCTTTCTCTTCTGGATAGATATTCTTCCTAAAGAATGTCCTCATGCCATACCTTTAAATAATATGCACATTATATTGACTCCCAACTTTTAAAGTCTAAATATTGACCCCGAACTTGTAAATCTACAGCCTGTCACATTGTCACTAATGTCTGTCACAGCCACCATTTCTTCATGCAGCCTAGCCTGTGACTGCTTTAAACAGAACTCTTGGAACACCACCAAAAGTCCTTTGTTCCTCTCTCCTATTATGTTAGCATATAGAACTAAAATCCACCAAATGATCAGTCTTCACATGTGAATTCTCCTTCTCTCTGTTTCCTCATTCATCTTAGTCAAAGCAGCTGAAAATCCTGTCATCTGAGCTGTCATGATGTGTTTGACTTCCTCAGCTTTTCTTCCTCAGCTTCCCTCTGTCTCTGCTCCACTACTCCAGCCCAAGCATGTCTTGCCTGGCTTTCTGTAATAAGGTTCTTTCCCTTTCCCCTCCTCTGCCCGATTCATTTATAACCATATCCAAGAGATGCTATGCTGTGGGATAATGCTTTTGTCCACTGGTTTAATAAAATGCTGATTGGCCAGTAGCCAGGAAGAAAGTATAGACGGGATAAGCAGACAAGGAGAATTCTGGGAAGAGGAAGGCTAGGTCAGGAAACACCAACCTGCCATCCAGGGAGCAGCATGTAATGGCACACAGTTAAGGCCACGGAAAACTTGGCGACATATAGATGAACAGAAATGGGCTGAGTTTAAGTATAAGAGCTAGTCAGTAGTAGGCCTGAGCTAATGGCCAAGCAGTTTTAATTAATATAAGCCTCTGTGTGTTTACTTGGGTCCAAGTGGCTGCGGGGCCAGGCCAGGACACAAGAAATCTTCCAGCTACAATGCTATTTCTTTTTTGGAATTAGGATGTGTCTCCCTAATTGTACCTTGAGTTAGAATCCTGAACTCCCATAATTCTTGACCTAAAAAGACTTAATTATCATTTGACCAATACTCTGCATTCATAAGTATAGTCTGGTTATGCTACAGTGATAGGAATTTTTTAAAAGGTCCTGCAGGGTGTGGTGTTCCATACATATAATTTCAGCACATGGGAAATTGAGGCAGTTTCACAAGTTCAAGGTCTATGTGGGCTACATAACAAGTTGCAGGCCAACCTGAAATAAATAGTGAGAGTCTGTCTCAAAATGACAACATAAGCCCTAAATTTTAGCAGCTAAAGACAACAAAAATTATTTCATGCTCACATTTATTACTCAGGGCTTTCCCCCTGAGTTATCTGTGTTCTAGGACTAACAGTGAAGGAGAAACCATTGTCCCATCAGTAACAGAAGGCAATCCATAGCAAACAGAATGCTTTTAACACTTACCCAAGTGTGAAACACATCACTTTCAATTAGTTAGTTGTTGACCAAAGTGAGTTACTTTGGCAAGGATAAATTCAAAGCAGAAAGGGCAGGGCAATACTCCCATGTGCCTCAGTGAAGACCCGAAGTTGCTTGGTAAACAGCACTAATGACTAACTCATTCTTCTGTTTCTCAAAGGTAGTATTTGGGACCCAGAGCACCCATGAGGACAGTGAATTCTGAAGCCATTGATGGAGACAGAGTCTTGGATCTAATGACCAATGCTGCTTCTAACAGTGAACCAGGATCCATCCTGTATTAAGTGAAACTACAATTAGACATCTCAATATCATCATTTTACCCAAGTAATATAAACTCCTTGTATTGAAATACCTTTGTATGTAGATAGAGTAGAGGCCTTGCTCTTGTCTGGTTGATGATCCAATAAAGAGCCCACTTAAAGTTTCTCTGACCTGGCCATTTTCATTTCTGGAAGAACTAAAACATGTTTTAGGCTGGAGATTCTAAATACTCTGGCTTAGTCTAGAAGATAAGCAGGAGAAACACAAGTTGTTTGTGTACTATCTGCTAAATACACTTCAGATATGCTCACAAGCACCCCAAAAATGGCTTGGAGAAAACACGTCTTTATTTTACCCAAATAACAAAAGTCTAAGGTGAGTGACTGCTAGTGCTGGTTCAATAGTATAACAGTGCAAGAATCCATCAATCTTTGGCTCTCAGACGCAGGGTGGTCATGACTGCTCCACACATACCATTGAGTCCAGAGAAAGAAGGTTGGAGCCAGCTGTGCATGCTCCTTTAGCTGGGTGACTGAAAAGCTTCCTCAGAATCAATACCTTGCCCTTCATTCTGCATTAACCCTGAGATGGCAGGCTCTGAGACCAGAGCAACATGGCCACTTTTTATTTTTTTAAAAAAGGAAAAAAATCACCATTGATTGGTTGAGCCTGGTACTGCCTTGAATAAAATGATGGTTCTGGTCCTTTTAAGAATGACAACTGGGCCGGGTGGTGGTGGTGCACGCCTTTAATCCCAGCACTCGGGAGGCAGAGCCAGGCGGATCTCTGTGAGTTCGAGGCCAGCCTGGGCTACCAAGTGAGTTCCAGGAAAAGGCGCAAAGCTACACAGAGAAACCCTGTCTCAAAAAAAAAAACCAAAACCAAAAAAAAAAAAAAAAAAAAAAAAAAAGAATGACAACTGGGAGTGGGTGTGAGAATAAAAACAGTAAAGTACTGGTAACGTTTGCCCCAGTCACTGATGGAATCAACTATGGTCCGTCAGTTTTTGCCACTGTGACACAATCCTCAGAAAGGGTGACTTACGGGCCAGAATATTGATTTTTGTCTTGCTTCACAGAGGTTTCAATCCATGCTGCCTGCCTATAATACTTCTGGGCCTGTGCAGGGCAGAGAATCTTGGGAAAAAGGAGGTGATGGAGAGGAAGTCAACAATCAGAGAGAAAGTGAAGAGTCAGGGAGAAAAGATGATCCTATCAGAGCATGCCTCAGTGGCTGCTTCTTCCCATCAGGCCTGATTCTCCAGGTCCTACTTCCCTGTTGCATGAATCCTAAATGGTCTTACAATAAAAACTCAAAGCCAGATATTCAGGTAAATGCTGAAAAAATCAGAGGAAAAACACCACAACCACTTCTCACCTCACCAACTCCTCAGTCGATCCTGTCTCCAAGAAATCCTCAGACTGAATGCTGCTGAGTCCTTGGCTGAAAAGGCTCTAGTTCCTGTTTCCTCAGGCCTTATATGCCTTTCTCTGCCCAGCCATTTCACTTCCTATCTTCCTATGGTGTGTGTGCCTCCCAAGTATTGGGGTTAAAGGTGTGTGCCACTGCTGCCTGGCTCTGTTTCTCTCCTAGATTGGATCAATGTCATGTGTCAGTGTGGCCTTGAACTCACAGAGATCCAGATGGATCTCTGCCTCCCAAGTGCTAGGATTAAAGGCGTGTACCACCACTGCCTGGCCTCGATGTTTAATCTAGTGGATGGCTCTGTCCTCTGATCTTCAGGCAAATTTTATTAGAGTACAACAAAATATCACTACACTTCTCACCCCCATCCTCCCCCTCCCCTAATGCCATCATGTTATGTATCTATCCATCAAGGGATAATCCATGGCTTAAGTCAGAGCTCTTAGGATCCAAATTCCATCACTTGGTAGCTAATATCCCCCCAAACTGAATATATGATCTGGAGACCGTCTCAGATTTAAACCACAACAGTAGTTCTGACTACTTTTAAGTTTACATAGAAAATATTTAAAGGGCCAGTGAGATGGCTCAGTAGGTAAATGTGCCTGCCACCAAGTCCTATGGCCTGACTTCTTCCTCTGGTCCCATACAGAGGAAGGAGAAAACTGAATCATGAAAATTGTCTTCTGGCATTTACTTGGGAGTCAACATACACACAATTAATGAAATATAATTTTTAAAATTTAAAATAAGACATCATGAATAAATGAAACACACATTTGCCACGGAATCTATAGTAGCTATGATATGTATGTGATTATCCGTCATTAAAAGTAAAAACAATAAACCTACCAGAATATCAATGCTAATATGTTTAGAAATAGAATTTTGTTCCAGAAAGATTGACAGATTAAGGAGCTGCTTGAACATATCACAATTTCACATTTGCTTGTGTGTGTGGATGCGACCACTTGAAACATTTAGGTTAATGCAAAAAGAATCATATCTAGATAAAACAGTGACTTAGGAAAACACAAAAGTCAGCTGTATATCCTTTAAACATTACCAGTAACCTCATCCCCTGTCTGTGTCCTGGGCCACTTCTCACTGTCATCTAGTGTAGTATTTCTTTGTGATTGCAAATGCTTCTGCCATTTTCAAATTCACGTACTGCAGCCTTTCTGAAGTGCACATCCACAAGCCAAGGCCAGAACTTTTCCAACATAAAGGCTACATTTACTGAAGCAATCATGCATTTCTTAGACATTTAGACTGGTGGTACAGTGGCCCACCCTGACACCAAGGATTCAGGAAGATGAGTCAGGAAGAGAAGAAATGCCATGCTAGCTTAGGCTACATAGTGAGTTCCAGGTCAGCCTATATAAAAAAGCAAAGGCCTTATCTCAAAAACCAAAGCAATGCCAGCTATGATGGCATATGCCTTTGATGTCAGCACTCAAGAGGGAGAGACAGGCAGATCTCTGTGGGTTTAAGGCCAGTGTCCTCTACATAGTAAGTGCCAGGCCTGGCAAGGCTATATAGTGAGACTATCTAAACAAGCAAGCGAACAAACAAACACACAAACCCAAAAGCAATATGGAACCAGGAGTGGCTCAATGGTCCAGCCCTTGCTGCCCAAGCAGAAGGAGCAGAGCTCTGGTCCTCAGCACTCATGCAAATGCCAGCAAAACATGGCTGGCTAGGAAAACTAGCCATAGAGGCTGGCTCTGGGTGTGACTGCGAGGCTTGCCTCGGTGACTGGGATGGAATGATTCAGAGTGATTTCCAGCAACAAACAACCTTGTTCTCCACACACGTACACAAGTGCGTGTGCACACATACGCACAAATGCAAACATGCATGCACACACATATGCACATTGCATACACATAAAATAAAAAAAAACAAGCAAGCAAATAAAAAAAATCTATTGTGTAAAAACATATAAAACATTTTATCTGTTTTTATTGATTTTCTGCTTTTGTTTTTTATGGGCTGCGGACAGGATTCTGAGTGTTTGATCTTTAAACCTCCTATTCCCCAAAATTCTTACAGATTTAATGGCAGTTTTTCACTTATAACATTATACTGAAGAGTGTAGCTCTGATAGTCTCCAGGTGAATAAGTGGGATATTTTAATAAGTAAGAAACTGCATTTTACAGCTTTAAAAGTTGCTGTAAAGGTATTTATTTATTCAATATACTTGGGAGAGCTTGTTAAAAAATAAACTCTCAATTATCTCAAATAAAAGCCATTCAGTATGACAGTCTAAATATAGATGTCACTATAGTGAGGATTTATCATTTATCTCTTAAGGTAATTATGCAAATAACATTCAGCCTTTGTATCCTGAGTTGGGAAGATGGGTTTTGTTTTTCTTCTCGTTTATAATCTTGTCTAGATGGAGTTGAGCAAGATTCACAGTGGGCAGGTGGAAGCTGGTGGTCCCTTCGCAGAAGAGAATCTAGTTTTCTCCTTAGGGTCTCTTTTCCTTAACAAGGCTGTGCACAAAACACTCAGCACATTCCCCAAGCTTCCGCTATCTCTCCCTCGGGAGAGCTCAACAAACACAAGGAAAAACAACTTCAAACAATGAAAGGCCCATCCTGCTTTGCTGTTTCTTCATGCTTCCTCATTTCCAAACCGGTCTTTTCCTCTGGCTCCCAACGTAAACTGCTCTTTCCTCGCCCTTCATTGGTGAAGCTACACGAGAAAGATCCTAAAGAAATTAACCTTGAATCATCTATTGTTTTCCTAAGGGCCAAGGCACAGGAGGACAAGGCTGGATCCCAGGCAAAGGCAGCGTGTGGAGAAGAAGCGACAGAGAACTTTCTGGGATCCGGGGAAATTCATTCATCTCCACTTCTTGACTCTCCTGCGGGAAATCACTCCCGAATGCCAATCTTTACTTCTTAGGAGATCTGATCAGGGTTTAGCCAGTCAGATTGTTAGCAGATAATCGCCGAATGCCAACACTCGAGGGCACATACTCCAAATAAAAATAACCCTGTCTCCTTTGTTGCGCAAATGCAAATTGTCATAGCTGCACACTGACTTCAGAGCCACAGGTGGACGACCAGAAGAAAGTGGCGCAGGGCTCCCAGAGGCCGCTCACAACACGGTTCTCAGAGTGCACCTGCACACACCCATGGGCACACATTCAAGCCACAGGCTGCGGGTTCTGCTAACATGTCCTTCCCTTCCCTCCTCCCTGCCTCACCTTGCTCCCTTTCCCTTTCCCCACCCCCAGCCCTTGTCCCACACAATGCGATTTTTGTTTGCTTCGGCAGCATGTGACAGTGGAGTCCCTGCTTTGCCTAACTCAGTGTGGCAGGTCTCTCGGGTAACAGGTGGCAACTTCCCCTGTTGGATGGTAGGTATAAAAAAGAATGACCTCATAGGGGTGGAGCTCGGGGACTCCAGGTAGCAGTCACAGACAGGTAACCCTGCAGCGAAGCCGTGTAGTTAGAAGGGGGGCAGTTAAATGTCAAGGCTCGTCCGGAGGCCCTTAAGCAACCAGCCATTGCCTGCAAACCTCAGAAGTTTGTCTCATTGCCTCAGATGGAGCCCAGAGAAGCCACTGGGAAGGGAAACCTGGGAGGCAAGAGAAAGAATCTGACCTTCCTGAGACCCAGGCTGTACATGCTGGAGAGGAGGAAGACAGACACTGTGGTGGACAGCGGTGTTTCTGGGGACCACTCTGGCACCTTGAGGAGGAGCCAGTCTGACAGGACCGAATACAACCAGAAACTCCAAGGTAACCAAAGAAAAAGCGGCTGCCGCAGGTGGCCCCTCCAGTTTTGTTTGGCTGGCTCCCATTTGTAGAACACTTGAGGCAGAGGAGGAAATAAAATCCAACTTTCCCTTCTTACAAAACAAGAAAATGAAATTGAAAGGGACTCGTGAGATATAGAGAAAATTTTTATGATATGAATCAATGGTTAGAATCGCCTCTGAATTTTTCTTAATGCCGTTCAATTTTCTCCGGTGAGGGTATTAATTTTTTTCCCCTCTACCTTCCTTGTTCCTCTTCCTTCCCCCATCCATCTTAAAAAGGGGGAAGGACTGGTATACATGTGATTTAAAACCTCCAAAAGGCAATTTATCCCGGTAGGTGGCTCTGAGATGTCACACCGTGAGCTCTAGCCAGGAAACTGTGCTAAACCATGATTGGAGTTACCTTAAACAGGGATGTGAAGCTATAATCATGTCTTTGAGAAATAAGTAATGTTCTAGTCAGTGGGATGCTCTGAAAGAATTCCTGAAAATCACTTCAGTGAGCACGCCCTTGGGGAAGACTGAATAGCATCCAGACAGGGTAGAGCTGTTCCGCACAGTTATGGCAAGTAACCACTGAGGAAATAAGCATTTTGTTTTGTGACGGTGGTGAGATAATTTGGCACAGTTATTACAACACGTCTTCCATCTCTGGCCCTGCATGTCTATCTGCTTCGACTACCCTTCCCCCTAAAGGCCACTTGCTCCGGTGAGACTTGGGTCGGTATGATAGCAGGCAGAGTGCTGTCTCCACAGCTGCACCTGTCATGTGAGCCTCCAGATCCCGGCTCTCCTGTTTCGTGCACAATGCGGGCATGACCTCCCCTCACCCCACCGTGACTTGTCATTTTAGACCTTTAAAACTGCAGCGGCTTTAAAAGACCAGTGGGACACACTTGTTAGCAGAATGCTTTCCTCGGAAACAAGCTTAGACTCGGTTATGCAAATTAATCAACTCAAATGCATTTAAATGAAATGTTTAAAAACTCTAACTAGGGCATAATCCTCTTTAAAAGTTCTGTATGGCTCAACACTAAATTGCAGCGTCAGTCTTTATCCTTAAAGAACTTGTTTTTAATGAGGGAGGAATAGTATTTGATCCTTCAAGGCAATGTTGGAAAGAATGCAAATTTTAGTCATACACACTTGGTTTCCAATTAGGACTTTTCAATTTACTACATACAAGGTTTTGAAGAAAATATCTTAAAATTTCTGAGCTCCAATTTTACTACTTTTGAATGAGAGGTTAATGATAGCTACCATATAGTGTTGAAGATTAAACAATGACACAAACCTCTAATACCTTGGTTGGCAGATACTATATGCTCTATAAACAATAATGGCAGTTATTTTCAATTTTAAGAATAATGGGTACCATGCTAACAGGCCAAGATGGATATCTACCCAAACTATATGCTTCACATTTTCAACTTCTTTTTCTTCCTTGATAAAGATACAACATACAGGAATTCAGAAGTCCACCACATTATTCCTAACAATGATTCTTCCATAAGTTTCACTAATACATCACCTTTCTGCTTCAGACTTTTCATTAGCAAAATAAATTAGAAATAATTTTGGGACTTATTAAGTTTTTCTCTTTTCTTCCTATCGACAGCCAACAAAATAGGCCGGCAGCCACAAAATACAGTAGGCATTTGCTAGTTGCCTGGTAAAAGTCCGCAGACTGCTTCCACACTTTGCTTGGTTTGTGAGTTTTCTATGTTCTGCTGGGTTTTGTCTTTGAAAGTGGAAAGAAAATTCAAAGTTCTCCCTTGTTCCTAGAAATACTCGGGGTGGGGTGGGCTGGAGTGGGGATCACCAGGGAGTGTAGAAGGTCACATCAGAGCTGTAACTTTAGCGGGACTCCTGAGAGGAAACATGCTTAGCTGTAATACAGCAAAACCTGAATTCTAATGCCAAAGGGGACTTTCAGGAGTCATTTGCCGCAGATGCTTCAGCAGCAATGGGAGACATCTCCTCCACTACGTTCAAGGCAGGTAGTTCTGTGGGCTTTTGGTCTGGTTTGCTCAAGGCCCACAATGGACTGTGGTAGTGTGACTCCTACATCTTCTCCTTATTGAAATGCCAAAGGTTTTGCCTCCATCTTTGTTGGAACCGATAGCCCCCAGGAGGCCTGAAAAGAGACAACCGGCACTAAATAGAGTCCTAGAAAGATGGTCTGACACCATTTTGAGGTCAGAATGCTTTCGAAGACTGGAATTTCCAGTACTTCTACAGCTCTCATTTCATTCAGCCAGTTGTTTTTAGTGCCTTGTGGTTATCTGACTAATTCCCTGTTCCAGTTCTCTGTGGAAGCTAGCTCATTGGTTCTGAAAAAAAGATCTTCCTTTCGTGTCTGTGAGTTCACCTTTTAATGAACACCAGACAGTCTTCCTGTTGTTTTTATTTAAAACATATTTTATAGCCTTTTAGCAGACTGAATTTTAAGTTGCAATAATAATTTTTTAAAAAATGATGCTCAGCATCAGAGCTACGGGATCAGCGCAGCAGAAAGCATCTCTAAAGAGGATATTCTAATGGACTCGTAGAAGGCTGTCTTGCCAGCCGTCACTCCTGATACACTCTCCACTGTGCAGGAAGAGCTGGATGCCAGCCCAGCACTGGGCTTCTTGACTCCTGCAGCAGATTATTCGGTGAATTGGTATTGGTTGTATATGTTATATGTCAGGTCTTGTCTTAGTTAGTGTTGAGCCAAATCACAAGGATAATGTCATAAAAAAACAAAACAAACAAACAAAAACAACAACACACATTTCACTTTACAAAGCCTTGTAGCTGCTTGGGAAAGATAAGACAGGTAAGCAAACAGATGGAAAAGAGCGGCTTGATGGGAGCAGGGGCTGGATCAAGGGTTCCGAACAATCACTGGGTGGAGGAAGTCATTAGGTCTCTAAGATGTGATAAGCTGGAGATAGGGAGAAAGTACAGATGGGAAACAGGGCTGTTTTAACTTCTTCACTCTACCTCATCTGAAACATATTGTTCTTCCTTATTGCTTGTATTGACCCTTATCCCCCCTCCAATCTCTCACCCTACCCATTCTCCATGAAAGAGACTTGCTTTGTTAAATGTTCCATTTCTGGCTATAGAGTCAGGCCCAGCATAAATAACTGTTCAATAGCATTGAACTAGTCAGCAACTATTCAATAGAACAAATGATTTGGATGATCTGGCCCAGGCAGGAAAAGGATGTGAGCAGACACCAAAGCCTGAATAAAACGCTGTGTGTGTGTGTGTGTGTGTGTGTGTGTGTGTGTGTGTGTGTGTGTGTTTATAAGGAAGGATTCATACCTCCAGCAATAAATATGATTGTTCATTAAAACAGAACATGTGAATGTACAGAACCGCATACGTAATGACTACATTTTAGTGGAAACCTATCTCATTCCTCACTGTCTTGTAGAGTACTGTGACCACATCTTAGCTCACTCTTCTCCCGTTCATTACAAACACACATCACAGCACCTTTCAAGTGAGCTCAGCTCTTTATTCCCATTCTACTGAGGACCCTAGAGATGAAACAGACAGGGGAAACTTAAAGTCTGAGTTGTAAAAATTTAGGATTTCATATATGATTACCTATGTAACCCCATTTGAATTACGCATGACTTGGTTGCATATGTCTGCATCTGTATAGAACACACAGATATGTATGTGTACTTGAGATATTCTGCACTATTTAAGCTTTTCATGAAAATGTTAGTGACTGAGACTCAGCGGTCTTGTCTGAAACCATAGTGATTGATGTTATTGATGCGATTTCGGCCCTTCAGACAACACGTTTTTACATACCAATCCAAATCTACACACTAATAACCTGAAAAGTGATGATATTTGGAAATGAGACCTCTGGGAGATAATTATTTCCTGGACAAGAACCCTAATAAATGGAATTGATGGTTTTGAAAGATACTCAAGAATTTGCTTTTGTCCCTGCTTCCATTGGTAGAGACATCTGTCAATCAGAAGGCAGGCCCTCCTCAGAAATTGGGTCTGCTAGGAACTTGACCTTGGATTTCACAGCCGGTAGGATGATGAGGAACAAAAGCTCATCACTTATGCTACACAGTCTGTAATACATTCTTAGAGAAGCTAGAACTGACCAGCACTGGGTCAGTTTGCTCTCACCGTCTGCTTAGGTTTTTGGTTGGTAAATACTTTGGCTTGATGAAGCAGTCCCTGAGAATGGGAGCAAGTAGATAAAACTTTCACTCCTAGCAGGTTGGTGGCATCTTATTCCCTTCCTTCCTTTATTACATTTCATTCCTTCTTCAGAAAACAAAGTTTTATTACTATTAAGAAAGAACTGGTAGGTTTTCTTATAAAATCCTAAAGTTCGGTACTCTAGTGTTAAAAAACAAACTTCCCTAAGGCACACACTTCAGACAGATTGCAAAATACCAGGACACAAGACTTGACTGAAAAGTTGGACTTGGCCACATTATGAGCCCATTTAATGTAAGGTGTTTTTAAAGAATTATCTATGAATGAGTGGGAGCTGTTCACACTGAAAGCCTTGGTGATTGTTCTGCTCCAGGCCTAATGAAGGATGCCGTAAAAGGAAAGGCTAAGCTTCTCTGTATTTCTAAGCTGGAGCCTTTCCCATTCCTATCTGATCCTTCTCCTGCCTCCAAAAACCATTTGCTAAAGAGAAAACTACAGAACTAGGAACTTGACACCTGCAGAAAGAGGTGTGTAATTGTTTGAAGGGCAAACGTTTAGAAGAAAGTCTGCTTTCAGTAGTTTCTGTCTCATTCATGCACAAAAGCCAAACTGAAGCATATTACAGTCCCTTCTTTTTCAGTAGAGAGTCAAGGTGTCTTGCAGTTTTTAGAAAATTTGTTTCTGATTGTGAGCCACAGAAAGCAGTAACTCCCACACATCCACACTGAGATGGGCGAAACCACCCCTCCTGTGTTGACCAGGGGTGACTTTTTTTGTAACTTTCCTAAAGAT